TATGGGTTAAAGCCACAGCATGAGGCATTCTTCTAAAAATACCATTCCCACCAAGCCACAGAAGCAGCCAGCAATTGCTCAAAACTTCCACATTAAAAAGAGAGGAGGAAAAAGAAAGAGAGAAAGAGGAGAGGGAAGGGGAAAAAGAAGCAAAGAGAGAAAGAAGAGGGGTTCCAGTGGTGGCGGCGGTGGTGTTGGTATGCCTTCCAGCAGACGAACCACAAGGCTCCCCTGGGACCTTTGAGGCAAAGAGGAGAGCGGGGGGGAAGGTGGAGGGAGGAGGATGGACAAAAATGAGAGAGGGATGGAAAAAAGGAAGGAAGAGGAAGGGGAGAGTGAAAAGAGAAAGAGGGTGAAGAGGAAGTAAGAAAACAATGAGAGTGAGTGAGCAAGAGAGGAGGTGATGGGGTGCCTGAGCAGGGAGACTGTAAATGAGAAACAGAGTGAGGGAGGAAAGGAATGACAGTGGAGAGAAAATGAGAGAAAGAGAGTTGACAAATTCATGGGGTGCACCACACCCTGGCAAAGACATCAGCCTCAGAACACGAACACTCACCCCTGGAGTGGAAGGAGAAACCATAGGCGGTAAAAAACACATTTTTATGCACTGTACTGTAAAAGGAACTGGCTCACACATCACTGTACACCATTCATTTTCCTCTGGTCTTTTCATCTTCTCAGAGACCAAAACTTAACAGTGTGATCCCGGTACAGCGCTGGCATGCTTCAAGAGCCGTGGCCAAAGAAACCCTGACAGAAAACTATCAAGTTCTCAACAAAGGAACACCCCCACCTTGTGGTCAGGTTTAAAATAGTTTATGAAGAGATTTGATTTTCTACAAGACCACATGGTTCTTTCTTTCATGCTGAAATGTCCAAAGAGAACATTCAAACTTATTAAATGGCACTAAAACTATCAAAACTAAATAGAAACAAGCAGAGATCAAGACAGAAGCTAGTTTCCTCCCCACATCCTCTCACCGTTTGAGGTGGTGGCACATGAACTGCAGTGTGTCGTGGTTGGGAGGAGGCATGTTTAGCACCAGACACTTCAAACGGTCCACTTTGTCTGTGTAGTCTGTCATCTCTGCAACACAGAGCAAGAAACATATCAGATCTCAGTAAATGTCATGTGCTTTTAAATTCATGTACTCCATGAGCACTGGAAATCTGATTTACATTCACTAAATAATATCACATGTGCTCTATTAACATCCACTATCTAATCTAATACAGCAGCAGGCAATTATCTATCATCACTGTGGTTTGATAAACAGCAAACTGATCGCTCCCTCTGTTCACAATGTGCAAAAAAAATAAGACTGATAAGAAAGTGTTCATACAATGAATACATTTGCATTTATTACAATTTCTCTTAATATGCAAGTCTTATGGCTGAATATAACTTATTTTGAAATGCGAGATTAACTACTGTTTTAGGATAAGTATAAGACATTATGATACACAGCTGCATCACAGAGGTTTGTGCCAGTTAAAAGTTGGAAGATATTCAGTATTTTTTTTCATAGTGTAAACAAATCCCATGATAAGGCTAAAGCCATGATCAATTCAGTGATCCTATTAACAAGAGCAGTGTACAGTTTGATTTCGTTATTCTTAAAGTAAGTGCAACAAACCAACAATGCTGGGCACTATAATTATGAGTCAGTTCCACATACACCATCGTGCTGCTGTATATACTCACTAGCACAGCAAATATCTATTAATCTGTTGCTGAAAATGGTCAATTTTCACTCGTTAGGTTTATGTCTTCAGGGTATTGAATGGACTTTGGGCTGATTCCAACACACAGGGCAAAGCCAAATTATATATATATATA